ATAATATTGAGCGGTACACGCTTTACAAAACTATAATGTAGACAGTGGCGTTTTGCACCCATGATACGAAGTATAGATGAATTGGACGTGTATTATAATATTTTAGCAGTGATTAGAGTGCAACATAAAATAATATTAATAATACAAAGTACACAGAGATTAGCGCCTATACAATACCATTAATGCAATAAATAATTTTAGATCACTCAAAGAAGAAATTAAAAATACGATTCCCACTGTTCAACTAATTTTAACACCAATACATAAAATTATTATAAAAAATTATAAACACAACAACATAATATTTGAAATAATAAAAAAAAATTCCCGTAAAAAATCAGGTAATAATAAGTGAGTGAGACCAGCCGGCAATAGTCTTTGATGTGTTTGACAGGGAGATGAAGACAATATGAAAATTAAATACAATAATTAATTTACTCATTACGACTAATGTGGACGATGCACCTCGGACAATTTTCGTTCTCATCTAAAACCAAATCGCCGAAAACCTCTGGTTGCTGTATTATTCGTCATTTTCACAGGTCATCTTCTAAGCCAGATGTCGGGAATTAGTTTCTGGAAGGAGGGTCCGGAGGGTTAGAAAAAAAAAAACTATTTAGGTGCTATATATAGCATATATTTAGATGCTATACTTGTAAGTATACTCTAATAAGTGTAAATCTATAGCACCTACCTACTTATATATTATTTTATATGCTACAACAAAAAAATACTAAACAAATATTATATTATATACATGTATTTACAAAATACAGAAAATTGTATTACTTACTTGGTTTATACTGTTTATGGGTACCAAATTTAAATTGGCTGAGTTTAAATAATATCTTACTATCACGTGGACTCATTAACTTTTCCATATTGCCCAATAGCTATGAAACATCAAGGTACGTACAATACTATTTTGGATCCATGTTCTGATAAATAATAGCTTTTGTTTATTTAATATTGCATTATTTCATTGTTGATGTGTGCACCTATATGTATCTAAATATTTAAATATTGAAAATAAAAAGAACAATTCATTTTCAACAAACTTAAAGAAAGTAAGGAAAGTTAAGAATAATTTTGAAAAACTTAAACAAATTACAAATTAAAACGGCAATCGGAAAAATTTAATATTATTCGCATGAAAGTTAAAACTCTTACGTATATAATTTAAATGTTTTTTTAAACGAAATTGAAATATAAACATTAACAAGAAATAAACAATTTTCTTGTATCGATTATAAGGAAATTAATAACAGACATTGGACAGCATATTATTTTTTTATAATATAAAATATAAATAAATAATAATTATTTATAAACTTTTATATTATTATGTTTGTAGCCTATTCAAGATAAGAATTAACACTAATAGTAGGTATAATAGCCTTACATTATAGCCAGGGCTAGTAAGTATAGTGATGTATATATTCATAAACATTTTATAATTAATCATAAAAAGTTCTTATCAAATATAATCCTTGATATTATATGGTTATAAGTTATAGTATATTTAACCTAAATAGTTGTATTTAAACTATATTACCATTTACACATTTTAATATTATACCATTAAACATAGGAAATAGGAAATAGGAAATAGGAAATAGGAAATCCAAAATACAAATAAATTTATCTCGGCAACAAATGTGCATTTTAACTATATTATTAAAAAAATTGTATTTTTACTTCAAGTATAAATGTTAAGGGTATAAACGTTTTCCTACATTAATTGATTTTCCATTTTTTTTGTAATTTTTTTTTTGAGTTTTTTCCACAATTTTACACTAACTACTTTTTATGGTTAGTTATTAGTTATTACAAATAACAATGTACTTAGTCTTAACACAAGACATGATCGCCATTTTATATTTTATTGCACATAGATACAATTTGAGCATAGACGAGTTGTCTAGTATACGATAGTCTAGTAGCCTACTAATTTATATTTTCTAGTTATTTACTACATGTACATACTATGCTATTAATATCAAAATGGTAGAGTCCTTATCTGTTGATTAAGTAGGATTTTCGTTACTAAACTCTAGCTGGGTGTTTAGCTAAGCAGCTTTATACGGTTGGAAAAACGTTTATCGACAGAATCAAGTAAACCACGCCGTAAAAAGTACAAGAAGCCTGATAACAAAATAAGAAAAATTGTGGAAAATTGATCTGAAAATTAACATGTATTAATATACATTGATTTTATTTAAATGATTACATTATGTTTGTAAAGTACGTATGCCTACAGCTTACTCGGTACGGCTGTAGGTACCTACCGTGACACGTACGACTCGAGTCTTTTCCCACACATTTTCAAAACAATGGTCATATTATATACGGGGTAAATGGTCACTTTGTATTGTCCATTGTTTCAAATGCATAACGCGGACACTTCGTATTGTCGGGTAAAAAGGTAGATTGCAGGACGCGGACACTTAGTACGGTAGGATATAAATGTACATGGCAGAACGCGGACACTTTGTAATCTTCTCCTAGATTTGAGATTTGAAAATAAAGTAATAATTTTTTAAAAATCTGCTTTACGTACCTACTTGTTATTTCTGATTAAATTGTCATTATTGCTAACTCAAAATATCTTTCTATTGGTATTATGTTTTATAGGTAATCATTAGGATTAAGGCAAAGAACTTTAGAAGTCGGATGAGCTAAAATTGACAAATATTTAAATATGCAATCAAATCCATAAATCGTTTCACCTTTTAAGTTACAATACCTACAGAAGGAGGTATAAAACATACCAACCTAATAACAAAAAAATATTAATACTATCAAAAATTGATAAGTTCAACAAATAAAATCACTACCTACCTAATACAAATAGCAAAACAATAATAATGATAGAATTTTTAAACCTCAAATTTATAAATAAAATATGTACTATTCATTATTGTTTATTTATTAATTACTTAATTACAATTTCGATATACATATTATATTATGAAGCGAAGATTACATATTAGTGTTGTCAATGGGTGACATATTTACTCAAATCACTGAGGTACAAAAAACTTAAACATAATTTATATGCTTATTAGTTATTATACATTAAACTATTGTACAACTCAAATGATAAAAATTATAATATTATACATAATATATATTCACGTAATAACATATATTATAATTTAACGCAAATGCACAAAAATTCAGTCAAAGTGAATGACAGATAATTGAGTTAATTTAAAATATTGCGATATTAATAATTGTTATTAGCGTGAATCTGCGTAAAAAATAAAAATACAAAAAGGTACGTAACTGATTGTTGTTGGCTGAAAATAAATAAACTTTCAAACGAGATAACCACGGATACTAGCAGGTCGGTGTATCGACGCTGAATAATAAACACATTTTATTATAAATTTAGGTAGCTAAAAAAACAGTGTGCAATATATTTAACAATTTTTCTTTTTGGAATTTCGCGTCGATTTATATAGTAACTTCAAAATAATCTACAACCCTAAAGCGTAAGATGGAGTTCATATATCAGAAAACTGTCGAATATTAACGAAGTAGTAGGTGAGACTAATAACGAAATTCTTAAATCCGGCGATATTGATCATTGTACGAATTATAGACCTATATGGCTATATCCTTCTATCTCTTTCCATAATCCAAAATATTTGAAAAACGATTAGAACAACGTTTGATTGATTTTTTGAATATACATACATTTTTACTATAGACCAATTTGAATTTTGGAAAAATAAATCAACAAAATTTGCACTGTTATTAGCTTCGAATTTTATACATTCTAGTAAGTAGTAGATATTGACAATGACAATAATAAGGTAGGTAATTGGTTTGCATTTAGATTAAAAAAATGCTTTACATAAAAAAATATTAAAATATTAATGTGGTATTATTGGTATTGCTCAAGATGTGTTTATTTCATATTAATTTTCAAATAGATTGCAAGTAGTTAAAATTGAAGTAATGCTAACTTGTGAAAATCGAGGAAAAGTCGCATTGTTATTTCTTACTTACATAAAATATAGTCTTGTTAATCCTAATATTTCAGGAGATATTATTTGTTTTGTTGAAGATACATTATTTATATTTTAAATTGAACATAAAAAAATTGATGAATATTGTATTACTTAGTGAATCAATGTAAACTTGGTTACATAAACATTTTCTAGAGCTGAATATTAAAAAATCTAATTATATGTTTTTAGTATAAATTATTGATAAATTCGATTAAAAAATATCACCGTACATAATTTCAGATGCTTGAATAATTTATAAATTTATAAATAAGTATTTTTAATGTGAAAAAGTTACTAAATTAAAATATTTAGGTATTATTTTTGATCAAAACCTTAAATGGGTATAATATTATGTTTGTAATTTAATTAGAAAACTATTTTATAAATCCAAAGTGTAATCCGAGTACAATTAATGTAAAATAATAATTTACAGTTTATCATTTATATATTACTAGGCGTAAAATAAAATCAATCATCAGATCTGTCTTATTTAACCCTAAATTTAGTCAACAGGGTTCAATTAATATTTTGGTGCAAAATTATGTAAATATTTTGAACTAGATTTAAGAAAATTTAAATACCTAGTTTGAACATTTTTAATTTTATATAAACTTTTTTTTACTTTATGATTATTCTGTGTACATCGTTTAGTTAGAATATTCAACAATTAGTTTAAAATTTTTCGTTTTATTAGGATGTTATATATTTATAAAATTTAATTGAACTAACTTTCGTTCTTAAAAACTTAGAAGTATAAAGAAAAAAAAATTGTTTTTGTGTATGCAGCGTATTTACAAATAAATAAATAACATTATCTCCCCCGTCGGGACCCACCTTGATGTGGTGGGGGGCTCACTGGCCAATCACTGGTCCGTGCCAAGAGGTTCCACTCTAGAGCCAGCCATGACCTTGATTGGTTGGGGGCTGGCAGGCCCGATCCACCTGCATACACTTACAAACGGATCCCTGCCAGTAGGTAAAATGGACGGAAGGAAAACCAAAAACCACAATATGAATAGCAAAAGTAAAGATATTGTTACTACTCCAGAGGGACAGGACCATCAGGAGTCGTTGGTAGTAGGTGGACCTGTTGTAAAAATCAGGTCCAACGGAGCGGGCTTGCTACTTTCGTTACCAGTCAACCGTGACAAATCGGATGAGGGGGTGTCCAGCATGGCCCCGGATTCCGACAAAAATGCTACTGCTGAAACAGACGTGCCTCCGGGTACGCACAAAAAGGTTATGTTGTATATTATACACCATTACACCATAGAGTAAGAGAAAAATTATGCCTGAAATTCGAAGACACTATATTAATAAAAATCAATTTGGACTTATTTAAGGCCCATGATACCGGTGAGAAAGTAGCTGTAGCTACCAGCCTGACCTTACCTGAGTACAAACGAAAACGATCATCCTATGAAGATGATGAGCATAATAGAAAATTGTCTCGAACCTCAAGAGCCGCACTCGATATCCATCATGTCATCGGTAAGTACCAAACCTAATACACTTAAACGACCAGAGACATAACAACAAAATATACAAATAGCTATACAGTCGATATCAGTGCTAAACTATTTTAGGGATTAACCAAAGCGATGATAAAGCGCTTATAAATTTAAATTATAATTTTTCTTTCTAAATGTGTTCAGATTCTGGATGTCGTTAGATCTTCAACTGGTATTGTCCATTACTATCGTTAAAGTGCTGTTTGAATTCAACTACCTACTATAAATAAGTAAGAAAATACGTCATATTCTATACATTTATTTTAGTTCAATGATATTTTATTTTTGTCTGGACGCACGACGCCATGGTTTGCCATATAATATCTTATACAGTTATATCTTATCATGGTCGAGCGCCTAGACACAGTGCATAATATTTTACTTACAATAAAAATATATACCTACCCCATATTTAAATAATATTGTGATCATGATGCGAAGCTACAATAATAAGGTTGTTGTAAATTTTTCGGGAAAAGTGATTATATAATTATTATTTTGACTTAAAAAAAAAAAAATTCTTGTTCCGATAAAATTGAAGTGCCAATATATATTATAATTTATAATGTTTAAATCTAATTTAGTTTAATAGAATCAATATTATATTGTAATTTTTTTTATTATTATTTAAATATATTTTTGCTGTTACACCTTACACCGCAGATAAGTACATAATTTCTGAGAAAATAATTATAAAAGTGATATTGTAAAGAACAATTATTAATACAAAAACTAACATTCCTTTTAAGTAATATATAGGTACCTACCCCATATTTAAATAATATTGTGATCATGACGTGAAGCTACAAATAATAAGGTTGTTGTACATTTTTCGGGAAAGGTGATCATATTTATACTTTTTGAAAAATATCCTTGTTCCGATAAAATTGAAGAATACAAGCATACAGCTCATGATATTTACTATGATTATCATACGCAATATGAAAAAAAAAGTTTAAATAAAGATTAAATAATTACATTTTTTTTCAAAAAAAAAAAAAAAAGGTGGGTAAGTGGATGTCGCTCTGCTGTACTGTAGGTTACAAGTGGGTCACTGTATAATGGATGGTATTAAATTTGAATGCAATGATATAATATCATTGTATAAGAAAAACGATTCTGAGCGGAGACGGTATGTCAGTCTAGGTATAAGACATATTATATACTTTTCTATGGTATTAAATTATATGGAATTTATGAATAAATTCCTTAAAATATGCACAGTCTTATCATGAGCATAATTCTTATTCCTTATATTATTATGGTAGATTGTATGGATAGACCATAATATATTGATTTTTCAGTTTCATATATCCCCGAATAATATTTTTAAATTACAACAAAAACAAAGATCGTTAATATTGATTTTAATATGTAATTTCTTCCAAATTTGAATTTAAAAGGTCTGTAAAAAATAACTGTGTTCATATATTTTTTAGATTTTTTGGTTACAGTATGAACTATTTATGAGAACCTTTGTTTTAAATTTGCAATCTTTAGCTATAAAAACTGAACATTTTATAATTTATTAATTACAATGATTAATAATTTTCGAGATTTTGATAAATTTTGTCAAAATTCGATGTTTAAATGCTTATAAAAAAAAATGATGCCTATGTATTTTTAATATTTTTCAATTGCTACTGTAACAATATATCAGGAACATTGTATGGCCCAACAGATAAAACTTTATTGATATTTATAGAAAAAAAAAACCAAAAAAAATTGAAAACTGAAAATGTCCGTAAACAGCTCAAATAGAGTCGAAATATTTTCAAAATTGTACAGTGTATTGGAAATGCTAATCTGAACATTCAGTGAAATTTTCATGTATCTATAGTTATTCGTTTTTGAATTACAACAAAATAAGAAAATCGCTACATGAGAAATCAAGTGTATATCCAATGTTGTACAAATTTGAATTTCAAACGCTCATAAAAATTTAATTTGACTTTCCGGTAGAGATTTTTTTATTGATAAAGGTAGACATACTTATGAGTAATCTTGTACCTATTAGATTTAAAAACAAAAATTTTTACGAATTCTTAACTCAAAATATTTTGCTAATTTTCGTGATTTTTCCATATTTTGTAAATTTTTGAACTTTAAATGCTTATAAAAAAAAACTGTGGCTAACGATTTTTAATATTTTTCATCTGCCTTTGAAACAATATACTAGGAGCCTTCTATTAAATTTTCAAGTTTTTTTAACCAACAAATAAAATTTTATTGATATTCATAAAAAAAAAAACTAATAAAATTGGAAACTGAAAATGTCCCTAAACAGTTCAAAATAAATCAAAATATTTTGAAAATGTTATCGTGTATAGAAAATGCAAATATAAACAACCACTGAAAATTTCATGTATCTTCGGTCATTTGTTTTAAAGTTACACCAAAAACCAAATTCAATTTACAACAACGGATTATTGTAATGTCATCCAAGACCAAGGTCTATACCAATTTTCAGATGTTTTCATCGTCAAAAATTGCCTCAAATCGAGCTCGCAAGATTTGATTACAGACAAACAGACAAATAGATGTGAAAGCGAACTTAAGAAAAGTGTGTAAAAAGGATTCTGAGCAGAGACGATGTGTCAGCCAACGATATCTTATATTATACCTATTTATTGTACCATTATACCTACTATACGGTCTACGGAACCTAGCCATTGAGTTGAATTAATTAATATAATTTGCATAAAACAATGTATAATAGTATAATACAACAAGTATTATTAATAATAGTAATATTTCAACAAAATAAGTTATAACATATTATAAATATTATATTATATAATTATATAAAATATAATGTGTCATCAAATTTGAACTTAAGAGATATATGTAACAAAATACTGTGTTTATAAATTTCGATTTTTTCGGTGAACGTATAAGCTACTTATGGTATTCCTTGTTTTTCTAAGCTACGAAAATTGAAAATTAGTACAAAATAATTTACGAATTTTCGAGAATTTGATTAGGTAATTTTTTCTACATTTCATATATAATTGATTATAAAAACAATCATGATTATGTAACTTCAATATTTTTTAAGTGTTATTAAAATCACTGATAAGGAACGCTGCGTATTACATCTTCAAGTTGTATAACGAAATGAAAAAAAATTTATTGAAATTTATAGAAAACAACTAAAAAATTCAAAATTGAAAATTTTTATAAAAAACACAAAACGAGTCAAAATAGTTAAAAAATCTTATCATGTATAAAAAATAAATAATTTTTTGAATAATTAAAACAAACTAAGGAAATCGTTGGATGAGAATCGTTAATTTACGGCAGAAAATCCAAATCGAAAAAATTTAAACAACTTCAAATGTTCTTAAAAATTGGTAAACGGACACTTTGTACTATCTATTGTTTGAGTTGCATACCGCGGACACTTTGTACGGTGAAAATAAATTGATAAAAATCAATTGCGAACACTTTGTACGATATAAATAAACCGGGAATTAATAATGTCGGGAGATCAGATAAAATTGAATTGCTCAAAACTTTAAATCGTGAATCGTGATCGCAATCAGTATGAGACATGAGTTTGGCGACACAATACACACACAACCCATACTCTCTGTACAATATATAATATGAACCACAACCAAACAACAAAGTTAAATCCGTATTACGAGTGTTTTGCGATCTTTGCAATTGGTCGAATGTGCTAGTCATTTAAACAAAAATATAAGAAAAAAAAACAAAATACACAAAAAACAATCCACGAAGCTTGTACACAGTACGAAAATAAAATAATTACAAATAGGTACACAATTACTTGAAATAATTTGCCATACTTTTAATTTTTAAATATTTTATTAAGTATTATGATTATTATTTTTAAATTTATATATTATGATGTATGACTTATAATATTGACAGTGAATTTTTTTAAAAATTCATGATGCTGTATAGATACTACAAATTTAATATCATAACTATTATTATTATTTATGTCTGTTAACTACATGGGTTTTGTAATAACAAATTATGTGATAATGTGATATCGGTACTATATATACGCACTTGTATCTTTTTTTTTTCATTTGAAAAATACACTCTTATATCTAGGTACCTCAAATAGTACAAACTGTCCGCCATACTGTGTGTTGTTAATACCTAACAAACTGTCAACGGTTTTCATTTTTTCTAGGTGACCGTACAACGTGTCCTACAACCATTTTAAATAATAACTGTTCGAAACATATCATAAAATAAGCTAACACCTGTTTCGAGGAAATATCTAGCCTGAAATGGAAAAAAAATATGGAATAAATGAAAAAGTAACGAAATTCTTAAATTAAATAATATTAAAATAAATTGAATAATACGGAGACAACGCACAGCGAAAAATTTTCATCTAAATGAACAACTAAATTATCATCTATTTTCTTTGTCTAGCACTTCACAAAGTTAAAAAAGTGTGACATTTTTAACCCAAAAACCCACATAATCTCTATATCCAAATTATTTTAAACTAAGATCACTTTTATATATGTAATAAATCTCTGCAATTATTTATTGAAACTATTAGTACCACACGATTCATGATGACAAAGATGTGCATAAATTTCCACACCACCATTTGCTTGTTAAACGTAAGACATTACATCGTCCATGTTGTTTAAACGCAAGAGGTATTATACGTGGCGCATTTTTTTTACTGTGGTGTCCCCGGTAGGCATAGTCCACATTTTAAGAAAGTCTTTTACAGTAAGTTGTATGGGTGAAATTAATGATTTTATAATAAATAGCTTGTCTGTGAAATATTAAGCACCTAATATGAATATCTAGCCTCTAATGGAAAATGTATAAATTATCACTCGAATCACAAGTTGTCAATGAACCACACTTCTTTAGCGCACCTAGCTTCGTCATTGAACCACACGTCGTCAAGGCACCATACGTCGTCAGCGAACCGAACGTCCTGAGCGCAACGGCACGTCGTCAGCGATCCGCACGTCGTCAGCGAACCGCCAGTTACGCAGCGAACCGCATGTCGTCAGCGAACCGCACGAAGTCGGCTGCAGCGCACCGTGTGGCAAATCCC